TGGCCTTTTTTAAATTTGTTTAAAAGTTTGAAGACTGGAAACCCGTTTTCTTTATCAGTTTTACTGTTGTTTGACGCGAATTCCTAAACAAAAATTTATGTCATCACTCTTCACGACCAACATTTTTATTGTGTCTTTGAGGTCAAAATTCTCATTTTAAAACTTCGAAATACCAATCACGAGTTACTCTTTTATCCTCGGAATTTTAGCCGTACACAGCCCAAATCGCACGAGCAGCTGTAGTGTTCTTAAAACCTTGATTTAAAGAAAAAATAAGCGCAAAAAGTTCTAATTTTATCAACTTGATATTCCATTTTAGTGATATGAAATCTAGCGAAAATTAACTCCAAAAAATGTATGATCCTCTAAGAACAAAACATTTTTTTTTTCAAATGATCTAGAAATGAATGAAAAGTTTCATTAAAAAAATGAAGTGTTATTAATATGCGCAATATTATCAAATAGTTTTGAAACGAAAATTCTAAATTAGAATTTTTTTAATATGAAAATATTAGTTATAACGAACAAGCTATTTTTTATTTGAAAACTATGAAAAAAAGAAATAGAGTAGGAGCTTTTTAAAAAATCTTATATTCATTTCCAATGTGGCCATTTGATCTAATCAATTGGTGTAATTCATAAAATACATAAAAAAATATCAAAACAGAAAACTCAAACTTTAATTTAATCTGAATCTTAATATGAAATATTTTATCTATGCCTTCCCAGAAGCCCTGATGATGCTTGCAATATTTTATACCACTTTGTAACATTTGAACGATTACTATAATTATCAATCAAGCTAGTTTTTTTTTAACACAAACATCAAGATTCTGGTGTCATTTTTTCTGCTTTTAAGCACCTAATTTTTATAAAACTTTTAATCACCTAATTATTAAAATTTATTGGTTTTCGAAAAGAGAATACAAACTCAAACAATATGCAGACTATTTAAAAACAAAACAACTCATAATCGTATTTAGTAATATTTTAATACTGAGAAGATCTAAGATAATTTTTAATAGAATTATGAAAAACGTTATTATTATTATAATTTGATGAAGTAATCACCTGATTAATTTTCAGGTTAAAATACGATATTAATATACTTCGAGTGCAATAATTTGTAATAATTTAATTGTCATATTTATATTTAGAGTGTAAGATAATGATATTTAGTTTTTTTTATCGATTTGGAAAATGTATATATTTGGCGAAATAATTTTGCATTTCTTTCGATAATGAAATTTTAATTTACCCAAAACAGTGTTTCGGAATTTATAAATTAAAAAAAAATTAATAAAATAACATCTTTGGAATCGGGGGTAAAATTTTTATTTATTTAATTACAAAAAATGAATGTATAATTGCAACAAATAATTACTAAGTATTATTCAAAAAATAATTCGCTAAAGAAGTTTTTCTATTAAAAGCTATATCACACTTGAAATTATTCTAAAACTAAATGAGCTTTACTATTTTCGAAAAAAAAAATACATAGCATGCCGACTACTAATGCAAACTATAGTTTTAAGTTAATTTTTAACTGCTGTCATTGAAAAAAGGTCAAACGAAGCTACAATCATAAAATTGGTGCAAATAAAAACTCTTAAACACTATTCTTAAATATATGGCTATTGATTTTCCGCTAAATTGAATATTTTCGTGATGACAACCATTACCCTGGATTAAGACATATTTTCTTAGATTGTAGGACAAGGGTGGCAAATTTCATACGCCGTTGAAATCTTTTTTTAGTAAAAAAATATGTACTCTTTCGACTTGTTTGCAGCTGTTTCTAAAATTATAACAAAAATAAATACTACTTATGAATTCTTTCTTAAAAAAAACTAACCAATCAATTTCCTTCTTGTAGGTATATTATTATTATTTTTAAATGTTTAAGGGATAAAATACTCACTTCTTTTGAATGAAGGAACACATTTTCTAAAGAAAAATTTTGTTTTTCTTAAAATGTGTTTTTAACTATATAAAAGGAGTTTCTGCTAGAAAAGTTGTAGAAAAAAAATTATATAAATAACTCATATATCTATAATCATCTCATGTAGGCATATCAACATCTCATAAACATTGCAAAAATGAAAACGGATTGTTCATGAATGGAGTATTTTAAATAGAATCTTAGAGTGACTACATAAAGTATGAGTGAATTTTTTCAAATTGTAATATTACTAAAATTTTAAACTAATTTTCTGACAGAAATTTATAAATTTAAATATAATTATATATTTACTTAATATTTTTGATTATGAGAAATGTGTTATTTGTGTCATTTCAGTAGTGCTATTAGTAGTCTATTCAGTAGTGCTAGCGTCCTCTCAATCGTGCTATTAAGAGGGGCACTGGACATTCCGAAGAAGAAAAATCTTTCAAAACTCCTTCATGAATCATTCAATCTATCATGAATTTGAGATATTAAAAGAAATTACACTTTACTGAGTAATAGGCCCAAAAAAAAAGAAGAAAAAAAAATTATTAAAGTTTTTTTTTTTTTTTTTTTTTTTTTTTTTTTTTTTTTTTTTTTTACCGAGTTATAAGATTTTAAATTTATAAAGGTCCATGCATCAATACTTAGACAAAGTTGCTTTTTCTCGTAATGGAATTTTTCAATATTCTCACAACTTCAAAGTTCCTTGCAGTAAAGTAAAAATTCTTCCGATACTCTTCGATGCGTCTCTTTGATTCTTGAGGCATTTGATTAACTCAATGTCTTAATTTAATTACAAGGCTAAGGAGTTGAACATAGGTAGTCGTAAACTCAAATTTCGTCTGCTGTTCAACTACAGTTTTAAAATAAAATAACATACCTTAATTAAATTGTTTGATAATTTAACGAACATAGTTGAAGCGTGTTTTTGAAGACATTTTTAGTGACAAAATAACAACTTAATGCCTAGTTACGTTATATTTTTACATTGCTGCCATAACCAATTAAATTTATTTAAATACTTATTAGAACGTATCTGGAAAAAATTTAATTAAAAAAGTAATTATTTATTTCTCAATTATCAATAATTAAAAACCATACTTTTAGCTATAACTTTAATACTAATGATTATTTTTTTTAATTACCAACATTCTGCTGAAATTTGAAAATAGACGAATAAAAATTGCCTTTTTTTTAGTTCTGGAAATCCTGTGTCCCCTTAATTCTATTTGTATGTGCATGTAAAAGCTGAAATGTCTGTGCATGTGTATATGTAAATGTTGAAAAATGCTCCAGGAAGATGCTCAGTAATATATCTTAAGAAGTAAGATGTAAGGGGTTAAAATGAAACCAATATAATTTGTGAAATATTAATTGATTCTTATAAATGAGGTTGATTTTTTGCAATTTAGTATCTCATATACACGCAATAAAACTCATTTAAAAAAATCAGAATAGCTGGATGCTAAAGGCGGGTAGTACACATTACAAAATACTTGAAATATTTATAATTCAAAATTTTTTGTACTACACTTTTGTTAACACTTGCGCTGCCCAACTTTGTGCAGTTCAGTAAAGGCTATGATAAAAAAAGAGATATTTGTAAAATAGCAATGCATACTATTTATAAAGTAGAAATTAATAAAAATTAACAAAATCATTTGCTTCAATTTCATTTATAACTGAGGCAAACTGGTATAACATAAGGCAGTCAAAAATCAGTTGCATAAATGTTGAGAGGCGCTTTCCAACCTTGAAAATTGAATTGGCATTTTACAATGATTCCAATTGCAAGTACTACCTGCTACTGGATTTATATGGGAACAATTGCAAATGTGAAATAATATTATAGGCCGAAAATAGTTAGCCTGGATAACAACGAGAGAGGGATATACCTTAGAGTTAATCAGTTAAAAGAGTTAACAGACTTGTAACTAGAAGTGTTTTATTGAAATTAAATGTACAGTCGTATTATGTATCCATTTAAACAGAGCATTTTTAAGTGATAGTGAGTTAAATAATTACTCTGGATAATTAGTTAAATACAAAGCTATACCCCTTAGTTTTAGAGTCTTACCATTTTACTGAAAAATACAAATAAAAAATAAGTTCCAATACTGACAGCAAGATTTTAGACTTGAAGCTTCATTGAATGTTAAAAAAACAATCATGTAGCAATCCATCCTATCATTTGGTCTTAAAAGATCTAAGCTTTAACTTTCTGAGACATCTTATTATATTACAAATGTAATTTTTTCGTTTAATGCAGTGTTTTCAAACCATCACAGGATTGCCAACTTCTCCCCTTTCTACAAAAGATTACACGCAACAACATAGAATTCAAGTCTAAAACTTGCCAACTTTTAGTTATTTCTTTCCAAAATCAGCAAAATAGTCATTTTAAACAAAATTACTACTTTTATTAACAATCTACTATATTATTGTTTTCAAATTTAACATGTTTATTTTATTATTGGTTTATAATATTTTCAATCTGTACAAATACTATCTGAATGAATCTGCTGAATCTGGTGTTTCAGACAATTAATTTTATTTGAAATTTCGTATTTATCCATCAATATTTCTTTCTTTTTTTTAATAGTTATTAAAATGTATTTTACTGATAATGCACACTTTATACATAAACAATTGTCTATTAGCAAATTATTAACAAATTAATTATTAACAAATTATTATTAACAAATGAATGAAAAGCATGAAAGATTATGTCTCGCGTTTCAAATAGCAAAATTTAAAAATATAAAAATTGTTTTCAATATAATTTAAAGTTCTTGAAAGTATGTATCTTGAATCGAACAGAATCTTACATACATCCTTTACAATCTGACATATATATTATTAAGTAAAAGTAAAATAAATCTTCTCTTTCTGCTTAACTTTACTCTCAATTTGAGCTTTTAAAATTATACTCTATGCTAAATCCGTGATCGTTAACTGAAACACGTCAAAATATATCGGAAGCTGTTATTTAAATCATTTTTCTAATAAAAATCACTTTATAAACCTTTGAATCATTTTCTTTCTTTTTCAGTCACGCCTTCAGACCCAGAAATGGAAGTAGAAGGGAAGAAGGTCCGGAACGGGAGCACAGTAGGCCCTTATTCGGAAGGTTCCACCTTCGTCTTGGAGTGTAAATCATCCGGCGGGCGTCCGGCACCGGAAGTAACTTGGTGGAACGGCACGAAACCCCTTCCGGTCAAAACCGCGGTTCATCCGGAAGGGAACGGAACCTACTTCGTAACCTCTACAGCTCGCTTTGTTCTTTCACGATGGGATCTTGGAGGAAAAGTGGAATGTAGAGTTCGGAGTAATGCTACAACCCATGTCGTTTATCAATGGATCAAGTTAGATATACACGGTACTACAAATTTTATTGTTTAAACAGTTGCTATAAATGCATGTTGAATTAAGTAACTCAATGTGTTTATTACCTAGGTTAGAGAAAAACTTATATTATTTGCTCTTTGTTTTTAATCGCAATTTTATGGCTAAAGCTAAACAACGGTAAGTATATCTACTTATCAAGTTACATATACACGGTACTACAACTTTTATTGTTTAAACAGTTGCTATGATTTTACTTTGAACTAGTAATTCACTGTGCTTAGTATCCAGATTAGAAAAGGATTACTGCAGTTTACCATTTGTTTTTGAACACAATTTTATGAATAAAGCTAAACAACGATAAACATATCCAACTTATCAATGGATCAAGTTAGATAAACACGGCACTACAATTTTTTTTGTTTAAATATTTGCTATAAATGTACGTTGAACTTAGTAACTGACTGTGTTTATTTCTTAGGTTAGAAATGGATTAATACCCTTTACCCTTTGTTTTTGAACACTATCTAATGGATAAAGATAAACCACGTAAATGGAGGAAAATTGATGAACCGTATACTATTTACCCTTTGTTTTTTAACACTATCTAATGGATAAAGATAAACCACGTAAATGGAGGACAATTGATGAACCGTATATTATTTACCCTTTGTTTTTTAACACTATCTAATGGATAAAGATAAACCACGTAAATGGAGGAAAATTGATGAACCGTATACTATTTACCCTTTGTTTTTTAACACTATCTAATGGATAAAGATAAACCACGTAAATGGAGGACAATTGATGAGCCGTAAAATTATATACTATTTTTTTATACAATAAAGATCCTTCTTTAATAAAGAAACACAGGAAGAGATATGGAAGAGGCTACGAAGAATTAAAACAATTAAAAATGGAAACAAGCTTGAGCTAGATAAATAAACAAATAATGAAAGATACATATGAAGAGGGACAACATCCTTTCTCCTTGTTGCGACTTGTTTGTAATTTTCTACTACAGTTCTGTGTTTCCCTTTCTTCTTATTTTGTGTTTTAACAGTGATGAAAGTTTTTATCTGCTCATGATACTGTTTCAGAACCATAATTAAAAAGGAATCAGAATCATGGATGCTAACCAGTTAAGAAATATAGTTTTGGGAGGGGTTTTGTTTTAAAGAAAATAAATATTTACTTTTTAAATGTATTTTGAAATTAGTATTATTTTGGTGGTGCCTAATAAGGTTGACAGTATCAGTTCAATCCTTTACAGTCAAAATTCATCAAAAAGTTTTTTTTTCTTTTTTACTATTTTGAAGAACGATCTATTTACATCTCGAAAAATAATGAGGTTCACTGAACTAATTATTTATTTAAATCTTATATTATCTTCTTAATTTCATAAAAAAAACGGTATGTCCTTTAGAGGCACAATTAAATACGATATAATTGAGAGAAAAATATCCAGCTAATGATTTCGTTCCTTACTTGAAAATTACCGAGCCAAACAATATCGATAGTTTGTTTTACAATAATTTAGCATAATACATCACATACTAATTCTTAACTTTTCTGTCATCTATGAAGAAATTTAACTTCCTTAAATAAATATGGATGTTTTATAACTAATTTTATCTTAGCTGATCCTGGAGCATAGAAGTTTAGCTTCCAGGAAAGCTTAGCTGTTCCTGGAAGCTAAACTTGATTTTGAGTATTTATAATATCTTATATCCTTTACATTATATAGCATCGGAAAACGGCATGGCTTAAATTTTGATTATAAATGATTCCAGACGAAAACGAAGAGCTTTCGTGATTTCAAAAGACTTACCATGGCTGTGTTTTATTCTCTATTTCTGATTCATAACTTTGCTTTTCTTGGGATTTGACTCCTACAATAAAAGTTTATTATAAGTTTAAGATAGGAGGATTAAGTTATTTATTTAAGCACAACTAGCATAAAAGTGAATAAAGACTTACGTTAGTTTAAAGTTATTATGATAAAAGTTCAGATATAATAAAATTCTAAAGAGTCAACCATTATGAAATCTAAATCATGAGTGTAGATAGGTTGGTATATGTTGATTATAAATTTAAGTTGAAATAATTTTATTCCAAATTTAGTTTTTTTTAAAAAACAAAATTGCGGTTCGGAAAATACAGCTTTTAAGTATTATAAAAATCATAGATTTTCTATCTTTGAGGAAGTTATTTGTAACTGAAAAACCTTGCTTTCAAAGATTTGAGGATTATAAGTTTTTGCTGGAATGTAAATGATTGTTCTATTTTTTCATAGTATTATTTCTTATGCCAACAACTAATTTTATGCAATATCTTTATAAAAATGATATATACTGCAGAGTAACCACGGCATAATATATGAGTAATCAAGTTGAAATAAGTTTCACGCACAAGTTTTAGAAACATAGTTTTCTTATATCAAAAACCATTGCTTAAAACGAGACAGCATACATTGTTGTTTATAAGACGTAATTTTTATTAAGTTATTTTTAAAAGAAATTTCATTGAAGTGGACAAGAATTTTAACACACTGCTTTAAATTATATCAGAATTGTTAAAGTAAATCTCAGAAAATTTAACTATAAATGGTAAAAAAGATAACTTTTTTCTCTGTTAGCACTATTAAAAAATATTCAATGTTTAGAATTAAAATATATTTTTCTAAATGTTCTTATCTGCTTAAATCATTGAACACTTTCGGAATTAGTTAATATTTCAGCATCGAAAGAAATTAGAAACATATAGTGGTTGATTCAATTAATATCTCACACAGAGAAAGAAAATGTTGCAAAAATACCGTTCTGTCTGGTTACGACTCTTCTGAAAAAAAAACGTATTTTTAATTGAGAAAACATAACATACTCTATTTAAATCATTCATTTGGGAATTTTACCGTTCATATGGTAACGGTTTATCGGAAATTCTGGTTTTCAAAATAAAATGCTAGATCTTATTACCACATATTTAGAAAAAAATGCAAAACTGAAAAGTACAATTAACCGAATGAATGATTTTTTTGACATGCTCTAAGTTGTCACGCTGAAATAACCAAATTTTAGCACATTTAGCAAAATTTATCGTTTATTATAAAACCGTAATTTACTTTAATTTTTGCAAAATTGTCACCGATGAGCTTCGGTAAAAATTAGTTTAATATTCTCATATGCAAGAAACTTGATAAATTTCACCATATTCTGGCAGTTTGAACCTTAATTTTTTTTCTCAGTGCAAGATATAATGCTTAAAACCTAAATAATATGTATATGCAGCTCTAAATTATTTTAAATTTAGCTACACTAAGAGCAAATGAAATATATATTTTTGCCAGGGCACAAAACTCACACGTAAAAAGTCTGTGACCGTTCTATCTTTTCCTAGATGCATTAAACATTTGAGTGAAAAATCTTCCAATTATCTTCCTAAAATAGTTTGGATAAAAATATATTAATGTAATGAATTCCCATTTTTTCAAACTGATAGAAAAGCAGTTATTACTCGGAAAAAATTCTGAATAAAATTCCGGAAAAAATTACCATGTTCATAGTTATATTACTCTTTACCGAAAAATCTATTTTTCTCGGAGCTCAAAAAATCTGGTATATCGTAATTTATGCAGCAGTATTTACCGAAAATAGATCAGCAAATTTTACACAGTAGATGGATCCAATTTTTTTCTTATCATCAAAAACACTTATTTGAACAAATACCTCTGTAAGACTATTTTTTTTGTATGAATTTAAGAAATGTTTTATCAATTAAAAAATAATAACATTTATTATTAAATAAACTTTTTCTCATTTTTTCAAGTTAAAATGCTTAGGATAAAACATTCTGTTTTTAATCATTACAATACTGTGTGTAGACTGAAGACGTTCTGCATTTTCATGAAATTTCTTAAGTTCAGTTTGTCGTTGCGAATTATCTCATTTTCTCTATTTCATAATACTATATTTAGGATAGATAGCACAAGTTTCAAAAGTGATAAAAATAATATTTAGATACGGCTATTTTTTATCATCAAAAATATTTTTATATACAGACATATAATTTTTTCAGCAATGATGTCTTTCGCTAAAATTTGTTTGTGGACTATTTGAAATTTATTACAGTTAATTGCTTTTGTTTAAAATAATATGTTTCGGATATAAACTTATATATATATCCTTTACAGTCAAAATTCATCAAAAAGTTTTTTTTTTCTTTTTTACTATTTTGAAGAACGATCTATTTGCATCTCGAAAAATAANTATAATTATATATATATATATATATATATAAGCGTGTGACAACTTTTCTAGGGATTGAAATATATTATTAGGGCTTAATACACAGGGATTAATTTTTATATTACACGATCTATAATTTTTCGTAAACTTTATTGCATTTATTAATTTGTATTCTTTTGGAAATGTAATGTTAAGGATAAATACGTACTATTCCGAATTATCTCTAAGACCTCTACACTAAGCTCATGAACAACTTTCATTTTCACCGGATTGTAACGCTGACACGCGAAGTAGTTAGAAAAGGTTCCAGCCTTTTCATAAAATTCTCGAAGCTCAGCATTTTATCACGGACAAGAATGGAATGAAAGCAATGAAATTATTTATTTCACTTCTATATATAATTAGATTATGACCTCAAAACTTTTCAGGTGCCGATGGGGCGTAAAATAGAGCTTCTCTCTTGACATTTATAACACGTCCAAGGAGATATGTAGTGCTCCACCCTCTACTTCCGGATATTAAGTCTTCGTAGGAAAAGAGCCGTATAGGTGTGGAAATTATGATTTAATTTACGACTACCAGACCCGAAGAGTAGAGTTTCCTGTAAAGTCATAAATCTCACTGCATTTATCAGTGAAAAGTCCCAGAAACCGTGTAATGAGATCGCGTTAAAAGCGAGCTGCAACTAGATATTTTATGTAGCTCAAAATGACCATTTGAAGAAAACGGCTAAAATCTCAAGTATAATATTTAGTTTCTTAACTTTAAAGAAATATTAATTTATACC